TCCAATTCCAACAACTTTGGCACAAACATTATTACCCATTTTGACCTCTCTGCCATTGGTGCATTCTTTGTAAGTCTTAAACTGAGATCTGTCATTACTTCATGAATTGTAGCTCATGTATCTAGCCACCATCCTTCTTCAACTCCGATGGAGTTTGCCTCTTCCACAACGGCAACAAAGTTTGGATCATTGTTTCCAATAGTCATGTTTACTTGATCCTTTTTTGCCTTTTCGACATTTTTTTGATTTTAGCATTCTCGAGCGGTGTGACCAGGTTTCTTGCAGTAGTAGCATTCACCTTTGAACCTTTTCTTAGAAGATTATGCATGGTCTCCCTTAGATTTTGAGTACTTTTCCATTGAACCATGTTTTTTTTTTCCTTCTTCCTGATCATTATTTTCTCATTTTCAAGAGTCCTTCACAATACGTAGATAACACATGAGTGATTCCAGGGAATGTTGTTCTCTTCATGTTTAAGTTTCTTTATATAGACATTCCAAGAATTTGACACTTTTAGCAATTATGGCTCCAACTTGAAATGGTAGTAAAATAATTTCAGCATTTTTAAGATTGCTAACAATAAGTTGCAGTTCATGTACTTGAGAGAGGACAGACTTACCATCAATCATCTTGAAATCGAAATAATTACTAATTAAGAATTTCTTGTTGCTTGCTTCTTCGATGAGATACTTGTTGTCCAGTGTCAACCACAATTCCTTAGCCGTTTCAGTAGTCCTGTATGAGCTGTAAACAATATTTGATAATGCGATCAGAATATGGCCTTGACACAGACCTTACATTTTTGCCTCTACTCCTGCAATTCCTTTTTGTGTTCTTCTGAATCATCAGGTCCATCTTCAAGAATTTGTGCAAGATCATCACCAAGGATGTAAGAAAATTTTATTGCTGTCAAGAAAAATTGAACTTTCTCCTGCTAGTGAGTCAAGTTATGCCCATCAAAACGATCAAGACGAAACAAGTCCTGATTCATGACTTGAATCGAAGGTGCAACAGATTCATTCAATGCCAAATCTTTAAATAAAGTCATCTCTTAAAATGTAGGAATCTAATAAAATTATAGAGAATATGAGAATCACGTAAATCGCTATCTTTTAAGAGAAGTTTCTCCACTATCCAAAGAAGTCACAATGGAGTTTAAACGAAAATCTCTTTCAGGATACTATGAAGAAGTT